TGTGGGGTTCGAAGTTCATCTTCCAGGCTCTGTAATTTGCATCCGATGTCGGGGGCTGACTGAGAAATGAAATGAGTGTGTAGGAAGAGGGGGCTTCCGCTGGGAAAGGGTCTGGTGTAGTGTACTTCTGGGGACGTTTTTTAGGGGGTTTGCGTCTGGACCTCGGCTGATCTCTGAGATGTTCATAGTTAACTGCCTTGTGTGCTGCTTTTCGAAGCCCTGCGATGAGGCAGGTCACAGTGGCATTTCGGTGTTGGTGGGCTGGGGCAGCTGACAGCTCGTTGGGATCCTGTCTGGGGACGGCCACTGCCCCCGCCGGCTGTTGATCATCTTGCTGGTGGAGGGTATCAGCCTGATGCTGAGCCGAGGATGGCGTCATCACCGAATACACGGGGGTCTGAAACATGGGACTTGGGGCGGGCTTTTCCGGTGGGACTATTTTGGGGGGGCAAGTTGGCGGAGCGGGCAGTGAGTGTGTAGCACGGCGGGCCTGGGCTGCAGGCCCGGCTCCCACACGACGTTGAGGGAGGAGTCCCAGCCCTCCTGGACTGGACATGGCTGGAGCTGTGCTCGGGCCGAAGCTTGTCCTTGGGAGCAGCTCTTGGCACCGCGCGCTGGAGGTCATCTTGGAACCCGGGCCGGGCACCTGCAGCCTGTCCGGAGTGAGCCGTCCAACACCTGTGCGAGAGCACCATTCCCCAGGGTCCTGATGCCCCCACCCCCCGCCCGCCTGAAACGCTGGTCCCGGAGCGAGCTGGCCTGCCTGGCCTCACGATGCAGGTCGGACTCGGAGCTCAGACCCGGAAGGTGGCAGGAAGATGCTGCTGTCCAGGCCACCCAGGGTGCCGTGGTTCGTGGGCAGCTGCCTGCGGGGCCCCCTGGAAAGGACAGGCCAAGAGTCCTCTGTCCTTGGGGAGACTGCAGGGCCCCTTGTGGCCCAGACTGCGTCTGCAGAACCAGGACTCTGGCCCCGCGGAGCGGCCGCCCTCTGCAGCCCGGGAGCCCAGCGGCCAGGCCCCAGGGCTCCCAGGTGGCGCGTCCCCTTGCTGCCTCGGCCGGACTGCGTTCTGCATCCTCTTGCGCTGGCATTACTAATCGCTGTCTTAAAGAGGGGGCCTTGGTGGATCCGATAACCCCAAATGTTAGTTCTCCGTGCTAGGCAAAGATGAGCGGCACCCCTGGGGTGTTTAAAGTTACGAGTTGGTGTGGACAGCAGTGGCGGCCGAGGGTTTAATTTTGCCCCACGGACCGCAGCTGTCATGTGATCTGGGGGGAGGGTAGAGGTTTTTTTTTTTACTAGCAGGTGTTTTTAAGACGTGAGGACCCTCCCTGGTTAACCTGTGAGAGCGGAAGCTGGTTTAAAAGTCACAACGAGACAGGCGGCTGCTTTTGTTTCGATCTCGGGTCTCCAGCCTTCCTGGTGCTGGGAGGACCGAGCGTGGGGGCGGCCGGTGCCCACACTCCCTGCAGGCCTAGGGGGACCGGGGGAGCCCTCTGAAGGCAGGCACTGCCCTCAGGGGGGCAGCCCATGAGCTTCCCGCTGGCCGGCCGGGGTTGCATGGCGCCGAGCTGGGTCAGGACACGTGGAGTCCAGGCCAGGCTTGCCGCCCACTGGCCCTGAGCTCGGGCACCTCACGTGCCTCCTGTGCCCCTTTCTGTGCTGCGATCATGTGACAGTGGCCGTCCAGCTCACGTTCCTGGCGCGTGAGGTGGGGCGGGGGTGCTGTATGTTTACAAGAGCAGTTCGCTCTGCAGATGGAGGACTTTGAGTCTCAGCGGGACACCTGACCGACCGCCCGGCGGGCTGGGGATCGTGCCCACGTGGGCTGCGTAATCCGCCAGCATGAGGCTTTGGGCAGACGGCCCCGCCCGGCTGGCCCCGGGCTCCGGTGTCTGGGCTGCTCTGTCTCTGAGCCTCAGTCCCCACGTAGGGCCCTCCCTCCTGGGGGCCAAGTGCCAGGGCTGGGGCCAGGTGACAGGGCTGGGGCTATGTCTCTGGCTGGGGGTCTGCTCCGTAAACGCGTTCCTGCGAAGCACCACGTTCTCCCACAGTGGCCAGTGTTGAGGACGCCTTCGGCCCTTCCCCTGGGTGGCAGCCCCCTCCTCCGGGACGCCTCTGGCCCTGCCCCTCACACTGTGCAGTGACCTGTCGCCCAGCCCGCAGCCATTTCAGGGTTTTAGAGAGTGTGCCACAGAGCCCGCACGGTGTGGGGCGTGCCGTGGACACAGGGGACACAGGCCGCGGGCCCCGGGGCGTCTTTTATGAGAGATGGGGTCGCTTGCCGCCCGCAGTGGGGGCCCAGGCCCACGGGTCGGCTTCCGTTACACAGCTCACAGGGAAGGCGGGGGCTGTGGCATTTATGTGGCCCAGCCAGCTGGGCCCCGCGCTGGGCAGTGCCCCAGGTTACAGGGGCTGAGCTGGAGGGACTGCCGGCTGGAGTCAGCCCTGAGGGTGGGCTGGGAGGGAAGGGGCAGAGCTTGTAAGACTGAAGTGGCAGCTTCGGGTGACCCCAGGAGAGCCCTTGAGTCCCCGTCCCCCTACCCTGCACCCCAGGTGTCTGCAGATACCCCCATTCCGTGAGCCCCACCATGCTCAGGGGCTCCCTGGCTGTCCCCTGGGGTGGCTCCTTGCATGTCCATCCCCCTGGGGAGTGAGGCTGGTGCTGCCGTGTGACCCCAGAGGCCTTGGGCGCACCTGAGCAGTGGTTGGGGGTGGGGTGCCGGCAGCCCGGACGCAGACATCCTGGACCAGACCAGCCAGCAGTGCTGAGGCAGTGCCCCCAGGCTTGCCGGGGCTTGCCCGGTCACCCGCAGGCGTGCCTGTGTGCCTCCTTAGGTACAGAGTCCTGGGCCACGCCCCAGATCAGAGGGCCGCCCGGGGCAGGCCTGGGGCCTTCTGAGCCTGGCCCGAAAGCACAGCCTGAGGGTTTCTGAAGATGCAGCGGCAGGATGGAGACGTGAGAGCTCGCGTGCAGGCGCTGGTGCCTGAGCCTCGGCCAGCGGTGAGGGCTGTGCCCATCACTTCTGCAACAGGAGGGCCAAGGACACGGGGCTGCAGGGGACCTGGGGGTCAGGGAGGCTGGTGGCCTTGCTTCTGGAGACCTGGGGGTCGGGGAGGCTGGGGTCCCCGCTCTGGGGGACCCAGGGGTCGGGGAGGCAGGGCTGTGCCCATCACTTCTGCAACAGGAGGGCCAAGGACACGGGGCTGCAGGGGCCCTGGGGGTCAGGGAGGCTGGTGGCCTTGCTTCTGGAGACCTGGGGGTCGGGGAGGCTGGGGTCCCCGCTCTGGGGGACCCAGGGGTCGGGGGGGCTGAGGGCCCTGCTCCGGGGCACCTGGCCTCCTTTAGCTCTTGGCTATTTGCCACCACCGGGTGCTCGGCTGGGTGGGTATGCGGTTGCTCTGGCATCTGGGGTGTGAAAGTGACCTGGGGTGTCCTGGGGCTGGAATGGGGTGTCAGGAACTGCGCTGAGGCGTGGTGGCTCTGCGTGTGCGGCCCCGAGGCCTGGGGCCGCCTGCTCCTGTCGACAGGGCTGACGCCCTCCCCGCTGCCGTGCCTGCTCGGGGGCCGGACAGCAGCCGGGGGCCCGTGTGCGGCTGCTTCGTTCGGAACGGTGGGGGCTGTCCCAGGGCCCTGCACCCCGCCCCCCGCGCCCCTGTTGCTCCAACTACCTCCTCTTAAAAATTCTCCGGCATTTCTGCCACTGTCCCCGCCCTGCCCTTGCTGTGGCCCCACAGACAGACCCACAGACCTGGCCCCCTGAGGGTTTCACTGTTACCCCCCCCCACTGTCCCCGAGTCACAGAAGTGCACACGAAACGGGGGGCTCATGGGACCACAGCCCCCTTTGCTGAGGCCCTGGGCCGTCCAGGGATTTTCAGAGGCCTGGGGCGGGGTCTCATCGGCCCTTGGTGGCCCCAGGCAGGAGGTCTGCTGTCACGGGGCTTTTCCGAGCATCGTCCCAGGAGGGGCCGGAGCACTTGCTGTTGCATGGTCTATGAGCAGAGTGCTGGCCGCACACGGAACCGACTGCAGGACTCGGTGGCTCCTGCAGAGCACACGAGCTGCTGGTCCTTGTGCCGCGGCTTGTGGCCCGCAGGGCTCCCTCCCCAAACCCGGACCCTGCAGTCACCCTCCCAGAGCAGGCCCCGTGGCATGGGGCACGGCGCCGTCCAGCCGCCTTCAGCCAGCGCCTCACGCCCCGTCTGCCAGCGCAGCGCTCTGCACCCGGCCGCTCTCAGGGCAGGTCACCCTGACTCACTGACTCACCAGGAGTCGAGTCAGTGCCTTAATCGAAAACCGAAGACCGCGCAGAGATGAGTGACAAAAATAGACAGTATTCTGAGAAGTGGACGTGACTTGCTGCATCTCCGTCAGAGAGGCAGTTGCTGGGTTTGGGGAAGGTGCTGTCACAGCTGCACCAGACGGAGGCTTCTGGGCGAGGCCGACTTCCCTGGCTCAAGGTCTGGGCCTCTGTCACCGGTCACACCCCTCATGGCCTATTGCCCTCCCCTCTCCCCTTCTGTGGGCTCCACCCGCAGTCCCTGTCTGTCTGCCCCAGGCTTGTGCATGGAGTCCCCCCAGAGGCCAAGTGGATGACCAGAGCTGGCTGTCCCCAAGACCTCTCCTGGGGCAGGGCACGTGCCCAGCCTAGCAGCCACAGCCACCTGCTGTGAGCCTGGTGTGCCCGGGAGACTGGGTTTTAACTTGCATTCAGTTTTAGGTAGTATTTCGGGGTCTCCACAGGCTGGTGGCTGCCACGGGACCACACAGCCCCAGAGACTCCTGGAGGCGGTGACTGGCCAGTCTGGATGGGCCTGGCATCCAGATTGTTACGAGCCCCAGGCCGTGGGGCCTGCGGGCCTCTCCCGCCGTCTCCACGTGGGTGTGCAGACCTGAGTGCTTGTCGGAGGGGCGCGGCCCTTCAGCCAGGTTTGGGGTGGAGGGGAGGTCTCTGCAGGCTGCCAGCTGAGCTGTGCTGACTCCTGGTTCTCTCTTCCAGGGGCAGCATCACCTACAGTCCCCCCAGGGCTGCGGGGGCCTGGGCAGCATGGTGCCATCTGGCCAGGCGGTGGAGAAGCCGGCGAGCCCGGAGCCGGAGCCGCAGTCCTGGCGGTGCCTGGTGTTCTTCCTCTGCTTCTACGGCTTCTTGGTGCAGATGCGGCCTGGCGAGAGCTTCATCACACCTTACCTCCTGGGCCCCAGCAAGAACTTCACGCAGAAGCAGGCACGTGGCATGGCGTGGGCCAGGGCCGGGCGGGCAAGCGGGCGGCAGCCGGGGCCGTCCAGGTCAGGCAGCTCTGTGGTGTCAGGGGCCCTGCCCTGCCCCCCGTCCCTCAGGGGCACTGAGGGGCTTGACTAGTCCAGGTAAAGAGCAGCCCTGGCCACAGGGGGCCCAAGTCTGAGCGTGGGGTAAGCCGCCCCTGCCAGCACCTGCTTCCAGCCACTCAGTAGCCTTTGGCCTAAAGAGAGCGCTGGAGGGGACCTGGCAGGCCGGCCGGCCACAGCCCCAGGGGGTGCTTCTCCATCAGGGAAACAGGGCAGCTCACGCTGCTGGGGATGAAGTATACAGTCCTGTCATCAGAGCTCATCCGCCTGGGGACCCTCAGCGCCCCGGCTGCCTGCCCCGTCCCCCAGCGTCCGGCTGCCCCTCCAGCGTGGCCCACGGCCTCCTCGCCCGCATTGTCACGGGCCCTGCTGGGTCCCACCATGCCCCTGCTCTTTGGGAAGGCCCTGCCTCTCCTTGGCCTGGAGCTCGGCTCCTACCCCTGCAGACCCACGAACTGTTAAGTCAGATGGAGCAGCCACGCAAATGAGGCCTGTCCCCCAAAGTAGCATCTTGGAAAGATGGAGATGCCCACGTGACTGGCCCATGAGCTCCGAGCCCTGTGTGTGTTCGCGTCTGACCCCACGGCCAGCGCTGACCGCCGGAGCTGGCCACTTCTCGGGAGAGGCCAGGGATCCGGGCTGGGGCCCGCGCGGTTGTCTCCTGTGCCCCAGGCCCTCCCGGGCTCCTCCGAGTGGCCAGTCCTCCACGTCCCTCGCTCACTGGTCAGCCCAGGGACCCCTCGTGCGGAAGGCCGCTCAGACCGTAAGGAGGTGCTCGTGGGCATGGGCACGAGAGGGGACCTCACGAGGACGGCAGTAAGGAAACCACGGCGAGGGGCCGTCGGGCCCGGAGCCTGCCCCCTGCCCTGCCAGGGCGCTCGTTAGCTGGCAAACAGCAGGTTCCAGAAATTAAGGCCTCCACCAAGCTCGGCCACCACGAGTGGGAGGATAGAGGCTTGCGTCTGGGACGTGCCCGTGAGCGGGGTCTGCAGGCCTCACTGAGGACCTTAGGGGACTGAACCAGAGCCCGCCGTCCACCTCTGCTCCACCTGTCCGCCCGCGGGAAGGCTGCTGCGAGCGTGGTGTTGTGGGCACAGCCGGCACCGCCTGTTCCCTCCACGCGGGGCCGGGCGCCCCTCCCCCTCCCCCTGCTGATGCCACTCACCTGGCCGCTGCCGGGTTGGCGGTTCCTTGATGTCCGCTGCCGTGGTTCCTGGCCGCCCCGTGACGCCATGCCCCGTTTTCTTGGCCTTGGGGGGTCCCCGCACTTGACTGTGGGTCGCTTGCTCCCTGCTGGCGGCCAGTGCTGTCCTGCTCACGTGCCCCCTCCCTGACGTAGGGCCAGTTCAAGGTGAGGGCTCTTCCTCACATGAGCTGCCTAGGTCAAGTCCTACAGCCCCCACCCCTGCGGGAGCCCCGTCCCGACCTTGGCCGACACCAACCCTCTCTGGAATCCCCTCCGTGGGGTCCCTGTTCTGCCCCCACCCTTCAGTCAGGGACTCAGTGCCTGTCCAGGGCAGATGCTTGTCGGCTCTTGACCCCTTCTCCTCTTGGATTTCAGGTCACCTGTGGCCTGGCCCTGCCCTGCTCCCCTCGTCCCACTGGTCCTCAGAACCCACCATCCCCCATCCGAGTCCCTGTCCTTGCTGCTGGGCCCTGGCCCCACCCCCAGCTTGTCCTGGCTGCCTGGGGCCCTGGCCAAGCCTCTCCCCTTCTGAGACGCTGCTGCCTGAAGCCCCTGGACTCAGATCTGGCCACACCTCCCACGCTCAGCCAGCTAGCCCGCGCCCGCGCCCGGCCATCCCAACACTCAGGTGCTGGGAACACACCTGGGAGGTTGAGCTCCTGCTGGTGCCTGGTCACTGGGCAGACACCACCTGCCCCAGGGATTTCGTGGGCACTCCCTCCCCCAGCACCTTCCAGTGTGACGTGGTCAGCGGCCTGGTTGCCTGCCAAGCCCAGGGAAAGCAGAGGGAGGGGCTCAGAGCCGGGTGGGGAGGAGGCCGGAGGGTGCAAGTGCATTCTGGTGACCCCACTGTCCCACATGCCCTCTGCCGGAGAGGTGGGGAGTGGGGCCGAGAGAAGAGACATCAGCTGGTCCTCAGCTCTGACCCCGCCCCACCCCTCAGGCTCCGCCCTCCTCACTCCCACCCTCACTTCCCACCCCTCACCCCCCCCTCCCCGGCTGCACAAGCCCTCTGCCAGAGGTCTCATCACGAGGGGCTGTTTGATTTTCCTAGTTTTCAAAACACATGGTGGTCTGGACCCACGTAGCCAGCCTTGGCTCTGTGACCAAGCACAGGTTATTCAGCTCTACCCAGGGGACTCACCTGCACTAGGAATGTCCTGGGGGCCTTTAGTGCTTGGGGTTGCAGGGACCGCAGCCTGTGGGATAAGCCTTGGCTCCTCAGGGCGCTGGGTTCAGGAAGCTGTGGGCAGGAGCTTTGGTCTGCGACTCCCACCAGCCGCGGGAGACTGGCCAGCGTGCGGTCCATTCTGGGGTCGACTCGAATGCACTGCTCCAGCTGGCTGGTCAGCAGCATGTCTGGGTGGGCAGATGCCAGAGCTATAGAAACAGGGCGAATGGGCTGGACTGTGGGGGTCCGCCCAGCCTCCAGTGGCTGTAAGCGCTGGGCTGGCTGCGTCCCCACGTGCTGATGGGGCTCGCCTCCGGCCCTCGGTTTCCATCTGTGAAGTGGGGCCCTGGAGCCTGCTGGCCTCGCGGGGCCAAGGGCCACTTGCACTGGTGCCAGCAGGCAGTCAGGCCTGAGTCGGGGTCAGCGCCCAGAGTCAGGTCGGTCCCGAGGGAGGCCGCAGCTTGTGAGTGCTCAGCAAGGCCCACGGCCCACGTGGTGCCCACCGCGGTGTGTCTGAGGCATGGCGGGGGCCCTGGGCAGGGTCAGGTGGGGCCCCCTGCTGAAACCCACGGGCCGGGGCCTCAGTCACGCTCCACACCAGGCGCCTTTCGCACCCGGCCCAGGCAGGCCAGAGCTCGGGCTGGGCGGCCGGCAGGCGCTGCTGGCCCAGGACAGCCCTCCTGCCCTCCCCACAGCCAGGCCCCACCCGCTGCGCCTGGCTCTGCCTTCGCCTGGACAAGCAAACGCACCAAGGCCGCGGGCAGCCCCACTGGCAAGGGCCCCGGGTCCTGGCTCCCTGACTGCTGCTTGAGTTGTGTCCAGGGGGCGGGGCTGGTGGCCCGGTCCTGAGCAGCCGGTGCCAGGGCCGGCTGTGGGGCGTCCCTGCCAGCGTTCCCTGCACCTGGGACCCAGCGGACTGGCCGCTGAGGGCCTCCTTTGGCAGAAGGCGTGCGGAGGGCCCCGGCCACCCCGTCTGTCCCTTCTCCTCACTCTGCGCCCCCCCGTTCCTTTCCTTGCGTGTTCTCCGCGACTCGCGTGACGCCTGAGTCTCACTCTGCCTTTCCTCCCGGGACTGAGGCGGCCCGTGCTGTGTGAGCACGTGTTGGTCCATGTGTTTTTCCTGTCAGATGTCAGGTGACATTGTGTGTCCGTCGTGTTAAACACAGTGAGCCTTGGTGACGGCGGCTCGACACGCCCCTGGCGACTGTGTTCGTGCTAATTGCCAGCTTTCCTTAGGCAAACATGTCCTCGCTGCTCCGGCCTGGCAGTTGGGGGTCCACTGCGTCAGCGTGCCGTGGGCAGCGCTGGGGTCGGGGTGGAGGCGGTTGGGGTCCGGGCAGGGCTTCTCTCTTCCCAGCACCCTGGACAGTCCTAATGGCTAGACGTTTTTAGAGGATGTCACCGCGGGGCACGGCGCCTGCAGCCTGGTCCTGGGCGGGGAGGGGCCGTGGTCTGGGCCGCCTGGGACACCAGCTGCTGCTGTCCACAGGTCACCAACGAGATCCTGCCGGTGCTGTCCTACTCGTACCTGGCGGTGCTGGTGCCTCTTCCTGCT